TTAACGTCGCCTATTATTATACATGTATCATTTCAAGGCAAAACCTCAACAAATGTGTTGAGGTTTTTTTGGTATAAATTAGGTCCGCTGTTGGCAGCGCACAAAAGCGGCCGCGTGTGCAGGCGGTGCAACTGCGTCACAATCACCCACGGGCCACAAAGGTCCCAGGCGGCCGGGCTATTAAGAAATGAGGGGTGTGGAGGAGGGGTGTGGGTGGCGAAATTGAACGGGGATTGGTCCCATTTCGTTCATTACACGAGGGCCCATGCCAACCTATATAACTTGGAGCGCCACGGTGGCGAAATGTTAACTACCTCGCCTGGTATGCAGGAGTTCGTGGGTGCGATCCTGATCCTGACGCATGCTGTATATTTGTAGTTTGCGTGTCTCACTCAACGTGGTCGTGTGGGTTGTTCTCCGGGTCCTGCGGACACAAGCCGGCGTGAGTAGGTTAAACGTTGAGTTTTATAAGGGCACCACGGGGTGACCAGCCCCTCCCCACCCAACCCCACCCCTCCCACCCCCCACCCAGCCCCACCCTCCCCACCCAGCCCCTCCACCACCCTCCCCTCCCCACCCAGCCCCTCCCTACACGATGGACGGACACAATAATCCCCTATGGGCTGGTGTAACCAGGAGGTTCCTACCAGTATAACGTCTCAAACTGGGCATTTACAAAGAAAACGGAACAAAGGCTGAAATGTGTCACAAGGAACGCGTTGGAGTTCCGCTGATGGCACTGTTAGTTGGAGAGTGAAACGCATGGATTCCATTGCATTCTGGGAACAACTATTACATTATCGTGTACATTTTTAATATTGTGTCTAACTAAATTACAAGTAGATATCACCGATAAAATGTGTCTTACTAAACATAGCAAGATTCCCAGCATGCTTTGCTTGTCAAGATGACTTCATTCCATCGCACATTCCGCACACAGACTTCGTCGCCATGTGAAAATAAACGTTTACATTTTCGTCAGTCAGCCTTTATATGGGTCTTTCTGGAAGCAATGTGTAGTTGCTGGCTCGCCTTGCCTCGACAACTTCCGCGGGAAGCACACAAACAAGCAGAGAGTAATGTTTCCAAACTTCCAATTGGAACGTCATTCATCGTGATTTGGTTGTTGGCCAACATTCGAGATCTGGTGGTGCCTAATTGCCAATCATTATGGTTACACTTGAGAAAAACGGTGGCATCGTCATCACCATCATCACATTTTCCAGGCTGGGGGTCTCTGTGCCCCGTTTATTTTTTTTACCAGCTCAGTCAAGTACTGTACTGCTCTTGTGAATAGTTGTTGCGAACACAAAACGACAAAGATCCCCTGTAATAGCCTTAGAATACTATTGGGGCAAGTGCTGTTAGCGAGCACCTATGAAAACTGACACGCACACGAAGGAGTGGATGGCCAGCACCGCACACGGTCGCCTTTGTCTCCCGAGTGGCGATGTTTACACACCGCACCAGATACTCATTTGAGGTCGAGTCGACCTAGGTGAGGCCCAGGCCCGGACGTATACAAAGACAAAGTTTCCCCCGTGTAGCCCTAACAGACTGCAGGAGCAAGTGCTGTTAGCGAGCACCTAAGAAGGCCGGCACGGCACGACACACGAGGGGGTGGGTGGCCAACACTACGCCTGGCCGCCTTTGTCTCCCTAGTGGCGATGCTCACACATCACACCAGGTACTCATTTGAGGCTGAGTCGACCTAGGGGAGGCCCAGGACCGGTTCAAATATTCGTCACTGGTGTTGACCGTGAGCGAGGAGCGAACCCGGGTGGCCAGGTTTGTAGCACACACGCTCACGCTGCGTATCGCCATGAACACGACATTTGTAGAGACGAGCCCCACTGCCTGCTTACTTGTTTGAGTCATTTTACATTTGAACGGAGGAAAAGCGTGACGGCTGAGCGGTGGCTCGCACAGACACTGGAGTCTGGCAAATAATGACAGGGGGCCCGGGCCCCCCTCCCTCCCCCAGTTCTCTGTTGTCGCCACTTCCACACGCGGCTGCTCGGCCAAGCTCGCTGCGTGCCAATTAGCGGAGCTCATCAACTAATTGGCACGCGGAGTCATCCTCTGCCGAAGTGCAATAACCTAGGCGACGGCGGGTTTGTTTATCGCCTCCGCCGCGGTGTAACAATCCGCGGGCAAAATTGCAGCCCCCCCTCCTCCCCCTCTTGAGATGTTAAAGAGAGCTTTTCGTGATCATACTGCTGGGTCACAACAGACGCGGCATCGTTGCATCGCCGAAGGTGGCGCGATGGCTCGTGGGTTGCTCGTAGTGGCCGTGTTCGAGAGATGTGGGCCAGCACCACCATGTGTCGATGTGGATTTGAAATCCGGATTGCGGTCACCTGTGATTCAAACGGGGGGGGGGGGTCAAGACCCTGATTTTTTTAATTACAAAAACAAGCCCCCCATCATCTTCTTGGTTCTTTCGGTAAAGTCACGTAGAAGGGAAATAATCAAATAATAAAAATAAAACATAATTTTTTTAATATTATTATATTATGTGGATAACGACGCGAAATAAACAGATTCCTGCGGAGGGAGCTGGTAGGAACGTCGGGTTGCTCGGTCAATGGCCTGCAGGGTCAACGGCGGCGTGGTGTATTCCGCAAATATGGCCGACTGTGAGGGCGGGCACAAGCCGGCGTGAGTAGGTTAAACGTTGAGTTTTATAAGGGCACCACGGGGTGACCAGCCCCTCCCCACCCAGCCCCACCCCTCCCACCCCCCACCCAGCCCCACCCTCCCCACCAATCACCGTGGAGGCCTCTTTCTACCAATCGGAGTTTTTTGTTTATTATACTCTTTGGTTCTTTCGGTAAAGTCACGTAGGTATAAAATAAAACAAATCACGACGTTTCGGGCGCAACACAAGCGCCCGTCATCAGGTGGGATGATAGCCGTTAGGCTGCATATTGGCTTGGGGTCATTTGTCGGTCATTACACATATCAGCGTATCTGTTTACACAGCCCATTTGGGCACCACGGCTCAGAACAAACTGTGTCAAAGTGCGAAGCAAACTCAGTTTTGCTTGTTCCGAATCGATGCCGTTGATATTCTACGCTTGCAGAGAACTGTGCGTCCGATGGGTTCCGTAAACAATTACTTTGATTTTTACGTGGAGAGATAGATCTGTGAAGGAAACGTATTCTACCTATCTGTACAAAGGCAAAGATCCACCGTATAGTCGTGATCAGATTGTTGGGGCAAGTGCTTTGAGCGAGCACCTATGAAGGTCAGCACGGCACAGGAAGGTGTTTGCACACTGCGCTACGAACCCGGCGACTCGAGTTCGATTCCCGCTCACGGCCACCAACACCGGTGACGATTACCTAAACCGGTTCTGGCCCTCCGCGAGGTCGACTCAGCCTTAATAAATGAGTAGCTAGCTGGTGCGGTGTGTAAACGTCGCCACTCGTCATACAAAGGCGGCCGGACGTGGTGCTGGCCACCCACCCCGATCGTGTGCCGTGCCGGCCTTCGTAGGTGCTACTCGCCAACAGCACTTTCCCAAACCGCCTGTGAAAGGCGAGATGAGGGGAGATTTGTATTTGCCGTAAGGGGCCGTCCATAAATGACGTCACGCGATTTTGGACGAGTTTTGACCCCCCCCCCCTCGTCACACGGCGTCACAAAAAGTCAGACCCCCCCCTAAAATATGACGTCACAAAGCTCTGCCCCCCCCCCAAAACCATATTTCCATTTTGAAAATAAATATAAAGGGGCCCTAAATTAAAAAAAACGTAAATATTAAAACACACATTTTTTTTTACTTGCATAGTAAAGTAATTGTATTTTTTCATTTGCTATACAGCCAGATAATAAGACAAATCGATAACCTTAAACACCCAGTCGTTCGTAAAAGTTGAAGGCGGTATAGTACTACAGTAATAGAGCAAGTGCAGAATCACTGAACCGGAATTGATAGCTTGAAAGCATTTAGCGCGAGGCCCTTGAAAGTGCGGGGCCCGTAGCTACTACACACGTAGCTACTTTTGCTCCTGGGATAATCCGACACTGGGTTCACCCATCCAGGTGACCAAACCAGGCTCTGCTTCGCTTGCGACGCACATCCCAACTCATCGCGTTCAACCTTTCCAAGCCCCCCCCCCCCCCCCCCACTTATATATAGCCTCAGTAATGAACATTTAATTGCATTCTAAGCGGGAGCTGTAACGTTTTAACAAGCAGCAGGGTTGTATTTTGCCCTCTCAGCTGGTGGGGGGGGGGGGGTGGGGGCTGAATGGGGAGTAGGGGAGTGGGAGCCGGTGGGGTGGGGGGGTTGTTGAGGTTGAGTTACACCAACGGGCTCTCAAGCCGTGGGTCAAAGCCCTTTTTGTGCGGTGGTGGCGAAGCACAGGCTTCGTCGTGGATACCGTGCAGGATAACTTTTGAATTGTGCTGGGGGTGGGGGAGAAGGTTAGTGCCACATCGTGACGACAAGGTACGCTGGTCCTCGACCGTGAGACAAACGTCCAATTCCGCGGGTGTTAAGTGTCTGTGTTGTGGCCTCCAGTAGCCTGTGGTGTGTTGTTGGGGCTGGTGGTGGGGAGCGGGCGGGGGGGTGGGACCAGTGGTCTTGATTGGGGGCCCAGTCCCAAAAAAGATGATGGAGAATCCCTGGGCCAGGTGTTTTTGGTAAAGCGATTGGTGGCGAGTTCAGATCCTGGTTCGGGTTTTGACTCAGCTCATCGTCAACTCGGGGTCGATAAAAAAAATAAGTAGCACGTTGTGAAGACGTTAACAGTTGTTATTCTATGGATAGACTCGCCACAGGAATGTCGAATTTCCGCAACTGACTCACAAATGTTTGTGGAGAGCGAGAGAAAAGCGTAACGAATTTATGCTTTGTGGAACATTGGGGGGAACGAGTAGCAGCAGAGAGGAGGGGGCTGGAGGAGAGAGAGAGAGAGGGGGGGAGTGGTAGAGAGAGGAGGAGGAGCAGGGGCAGAGAGGCAGAGAGAGAGACGCGGCTTAGGTTATTTTTGGTGGCATTGCCCGGGTACTCACATAGCCTTGTTAGGCTCGGCTCGGCACACAGCGCAACCCAACCGAGCGTCTGGGAAGCCAAACTGACCGTGCATCCAAACGGAGGCAGGCAGGCGGGGCTCGGAGCTGTGCGCATCTCCATGCGTGTTACCCCCCCCCCCCTCCTCTCTCTCTTCCTCTCTCCCTCTCTCTCCCACTCCCCTCCCTCTCTCTCTGTTCCTGCTTCATCCGCTCAGCCGTTCAGGTGAACGCTGCTGCTGCTGCCGCTGCTGCCGCTGCTGCTGATAAACGGAGCCTTCGCAAGAGAACCGAGCATCGGGTGCGTGTGGGTTGTCGAGACACCGCGAGGCAACCTGAAGCAACGCAACCACGACCGCTGGATTAATGTAAACGATATAACAAGAGAAAATATTATTTGGAAAACCAGCAGCGGCGATAATCAAGAACAACAACACACGACGTACCAGACACGCCAGCGAGGCAAGCCTTGGAATCGCGTCCGAATTAGCATCGACATTGTCTCCACCACAGCAACAGCATCATCGCCAGCAGCAGCAGCTGCAGAACGTCTCCTTCTCGTGTGCTATCTCCAGCTCTGCACGAGTGGAGATCACCATCATACGCGCCAAGAATGAAAAGGATAACGACGTACCCGGTGACTATCTCACAATGATTGTATTATAATTATTATTTTAAAGGCTGCGCTGCTAGGGACATTTTTTTTCTCCCCTGAACACCGACTGGACGTTGCTGCTGCGGCGGTGGTGGTGGTGACACCAAAAGGCGGATTCAGGTGGAAATGATCTCCGTCGACCGTTGTTGGGAGAGGTGAACATTCCATTTTCGTCACCGCATTGAGAAGACTTCCCTTTCCACCATCACAACCAGCATCAGCAGCAGCAGCACCATCACCACTCTTGAGAGAGCTGTGGGCGCGGGTGGGGGGAGGCATATCTTTTCATCGCGAGTAACACTCCTTCCACCACCAATATCACGACAACCGCAATCATCACCACCACCACCACCACCTCCTCCTCCACCACCACCATCATCTCCTTCGCGGGCGTGAGGCTGCGCTCGCTCGGGCGCAGAGGAACGCTTCATGCATGAGTGGGGGACGCTTTGATTTTGATGACGGCGGCACTTACTGCGGTGGCTGGGAGGACGGCAAAGCTCACGGGCACGGAGTGTGCACGGGGCCGCGGGGCCAGGGAGAGTTCTCGGGCAACTGGAGCCATGGCTTCGAGGTGGTCGGTGTCTACACGTGGCCGAGCGGCAACGCGTATGAAGGTCACTGGGCGCAGGGCAAGAGGCATGGTCTGGGCGTGGAGAACAAGGGGCGCTGGGTGTACGCGGGCGAGTGGACGCACGGATTCAAGGGACGCTACGGGGGCAGGCACAGCATGAGCAGCGGGGCGAGGTACGAGGGCACGTGGAGCAATGGGCTGCAGGACGGGTACGGCACGGAGACCTACTCAGATGGAGGTGGGTTCGTCGTTTGTGTGTGTGCGTGCGTGCGTGTGTGTAACCTGGCATGAGTGCCTGGTGCGGTGTGTAAACATCGCCAATGGGGAGACAAAGGTGGTCGGGTGTGGTGCTGGCCACCCACTTCCTCGTGTACCGTTCTGGCCTTCATAGGTGCTCGCTAACAGCACTTGCCCCTACAATCTGTTAAGGCTATACGGGGGAGCTTTGTGTGTAACCTGGCATTGATCGTGCGCCGTGATTCATCGTGTTGACAACTGTTAGCGATAATTGATTCTTTACCCTTCTATCTGGCAACAAAACTGACAGTTTTGTTGCCAGATAGAAGGGTAAAGAATCAATTATCATATTTTTACTGGCAAATGAGGTCCCCATAGTGTAGATGCTTGCCCCGAGCTCTCATACTCTGATGGTGCATTGTCCTTGAGTTGTGCGCCTTTTGGCGTCATCTGGTCCAACCCATATGAGACTAGGCTCGAAGGAAAGCTGTCTCGGGTGTGGACCAATCAACTTCAAGGACAGTGCACATTATCAGAGTTATGTTCTTTTGTTTGTATTATGACTGCAGGTATTGCGGTCTATGCAAACATGACTCCTTGCAAAAAGGTGTCAGTTTTGTTGCCAGATAGAAGGGTAAAGAATCAATTATCATATTTTTACTGGCAAATGAGGTCCCCATAGAACTGTTAGCGATTTGACTGTTTTCGTTTTGCCAGGTAAAGGCTCTTTGTCAGAATCGACCTGGGTATCACAAATGATAGCTAGGCAATGCCGCTTGTCACGTGGGAATTTATAGCAGACAGACGCTCTAAAGACACGTTTATGAATATGGAGGGAAGGAAAAAAAACTGAAGGATCAGGAGAAAAATCCACGCGACCACGGGGAGAACATCCAAATAGGGTGGGGATCTAACCCACGGCCTTCTGCATACCGGGCGAGGTAGTTAACATCTCGCGTGTGAGAGCGCTGCGCTACGAACCCGGCGGTGCACCCGAGGTCGATTTCTCGTTCGCGGCCACCACCAACAGCGGTGATGATTTTCTGAACCGGTGCTGGACCGCCCCTAGGTCAACTCAGCCTCAAATGAGTACCAGCTGCGGCGTGTAAGACATCGCTGCTCGTGAGGCAAAGGCGGTCGGGCGTGGTGCTGGCCACCCACCCCCTCGTGTGCCGTGCCAGCCTCTTCATAGGCGCTCGCTAACAGCACTTGCCCCAAGTCTGCCCAAGGCTATACGGGGGATATTTGTCTTTGCATGTGTGTTTTTTTCTTCCTTTGATCAGATCTCGAACACGAAGCAGGCTAGCTGGAGCCTGCTCAAATGGGTGACCACCAGGGCTTGGCAGATGTTCAGAATCAGAATAAGTTTATTTCCCGAGTGACACGCATGTTAACATGCATGAAGATGCGAGGTGTGGGCCACTTGATCGAACCGTTGTCACCACGTCTCGTGCGTGCGCGTTTAATTAACAACATCGCCGCCATCGTGTTGTCATAGACGTCATTCTCACCATTATCATCATCATTCATCGTCGAGGTTTTTGGGTTAGATCGCATTCTCGAATTGTAAATGTTGTGGATTTACTCGACAACACACCGGTTTGCTGTACTCGTGACGAATTGGCACGTTTTGGTCACGTGACAAACCTTACTAATTGGCTGTGTCGGGTGGTGGCGGGTTTCACGACGCATTTATATTTACCCAAAAACCTCTATTATGGACAATATTGGTCGCGAAAGCCTTCGTGTTAAATCATTGTCATGACTGCCAACATCCTTGCATCATAGTCATTACCTGGGCAATGACCCCACTACCCTGAATACACGGGAACTCTTCGTGACTGCAGGGATTCATCTTCTTGGTTCTTTCGGTAAAGTCACGTAGCATGGACATAATAAAATAATAAAAATAAAACATAATTAAATTATTCTCACGACGTTTCGGCCACAACGCAAGCAGCCGTCCTCAGGTGGAGAACAGGTATGTCGAGAAGACAGAGGCTGCTTGCGTTGTGGCCGAAACGTCGTGAGAATTATTTTATTATGTTTTATTTTTATTATTTTATTATTTCCATTCTACGTGACTTTACCGAAAGAACCAAGAAGACACGGGAACGCGTCGGATCTCGGATGAAGATGGTTAGTCCTCGAACGGTTGACCATCCGGGTTTCGCCAGGTAGTCGTACTTGCGTAGAATCGGGGGGTGGGGTGGGGGCTCGAGGTGTGGCCAGCAAGGAGATCTCCAGTCCCAGGGTGTGACCCCCACCCCCGCACACGTGGGGAGCGTTTTCTCCCGGACAACTCTCCGCTTCCTCCCACGCAAGGAAGTCTCAAATCGCTCATTCAATGGCATTGGTCAGACTTCACATTGTAGCAACGGCTATTTTAAGGCCCCCTTTCGTTTTTTTCTTGCTCGTTACACAAAACGGAATTGTTATTGCCGCGTACTTGGACGGGGTGACCCACCAGGGGTTTTTCCCAGGAGTTGTCCAGGTGCGGGGATGTGACGTGTTTCGTGGCCAGAACCCGGGATATGGAACTGTTGAACGTCGTCACCTCTCCCGTGTTAAGTTTCATAATCTTCGTCAACACGCTCATTCATTGTTGCCACCATTTTGTCATCGTTTTCTTTTTGTTGTTGTTGTCCTTTTCCCGCACCACCTCCGATTAGCAAGGTCGGCTCCATACGATGTGACAGAAGTTCAACATACCGTACATAAATTTCGATTTAAAGCTTTCGTGACTGCAGGGATTCGTCTTCTTGGTTCTTTCGGTAAAGTCACGTGGAAGGGAAATAATAAAAGAATAAAAATAAAACATAATAAAATAATTACATTTCGATTTAAAGCTTTCGTGACTGCAGGGATTCATCTTCTTGGTTCTTTCGGTAATGTCACGTAGAAGGGAAATAATAAAATAATAAAAATAAAACATAATAAAATAATTCTCACGACGTTTCGGCCACAATGCAAGCAGCTGTCTTTCCGACAGACCTGTTCTTCACCTGAGGACGGCTGCTTGCGTTGTGGCCGAAGCGTCGTGAAATTTTTTTATTATGTTTTATTTTAATTATTTTATTATTTCCCTTCTACGTGACTTTACCGAAAGAACCAAGAAGACGAATACCGTACATACATCGCTGCCATGGTCATCATTGATCAGTACTGATGTGGGTGACCATCAGCGCTTTCCAGCTGTGGGTCGGTTTGCTGAGCAGGAGATGGCAGTACAGCATTGGGTTTTGGTCGACGGAGAGATTCAGTCCACATTTGGATTCAGGTTGTTGACTGAATGCGTGCACAGAGATACCGCGAGTGTCTCACAGCCCCTGGTGTTATTCCGTGGGGTTTTCTCCGGGTGTTCCGGCTGTTTCGTCGCACGTGTCGCTTATATTCGTGGGATTGGTCAAACAATTCGCACGCGAGGCCCTCGAGAGAAAGAAAAACAGTCTTGAGACTCACGGAGGCTTTCCTAGGTGAATATATACTATATTGTATTGTAATATCAGCTAACTGTTGCTGCCTTGGCCCTAGCTGATGATGATAAACAATCCATTATCTTAGCATTTGTGTACAATACAAACACTATATAAACTTTTATCATAACACTTCCTTATGACAGGAAAGTATACAGTACGAGGATAACGATTTGGGACATCTACAGTTTTGGATGATGATGATGATAACGATGAGGATGGCCTTTTTCCGTGACGTATTTCCCAGGGTAACTCTATTGCATGGCGGAGCGGTGGCACGGTGGTTAGCGCACTGCAGATTAAGAACCCGGTGACCTGTGCTTCATTCCTGGCCAGGGCTAGCATCAGCGGCGAATGAAATCTGAACCAGTCCTGCCCCCCCCCCACCAGCTCCCTCCTACCCCCCTTTCACTAACCCTCACTGACCACCGCGGTGAAATATGGCATACGGAGGCCTTGCTCCAGAAGTGAATTGACAATGCAATGTAAATAATGTATCCGATTCAAGTTGATAATCCTGACTGCCTCGTTCATTGGTGTCAACTCGAATCATGTTCCAGAGGAGCTAGAGAGCTGACATTGTGCGCAATGGGTTTGAATATCTCAAAATCAGTCATTGCAACGATTTCGTCCTCCCATGCATTGAGGCCATCAGCTTGCTTGGTTTCACTCGTAGGGCCTACACCTCTACATCACGTGAAGTCCCTCGTGGAAGATCACCACCATCGGTGAACCAAGTAATGCGCCTTCCTTGGAGTGTAACGCTGCATTTTAACAGGGAAAAAATTAACCCGTAAAATCCTTTAAATTCGTGGCATCGGTTTTATTTTATTATTCATTTCTGTTTTTCTTGAGTAAGAGTTTCATTTTTATCACATTGGTATTTTAAATTAAATATTAAATATTTTTTTTCCTAAAAAGTGGAAAATGTAGGAAAAAAATTTTTCACGAAAATAAATTGTCACGCACAACGAGTCTGTGTGCAAAATGTCAGCTCGATTGGATCACGGGAAGTGAGTTAAAAAACGACCGAAAGATTTGCACGGTCGTAAGCGCGCAAGCAAGCAAGCAAGTGAACTTAATATAAAGGATTTTAAAAAATAATAAATCGAGATCGCCGCACTTATATAACGCGCGGTCCTCAGATTATTTCGGCGACTCCGTCTTCTGGTGTTGCGTTATTTTCCCCGGTCTACGTTATTTATTCAGTGTCCCGTACATTATTTACACTTGTAATGCGGCGGCGGCGGTGGTGGTGGTGGTGGCAAGTTTCTCTTCACGTCTCCCATCACTCCATCGCCGGCTTTGCCGTCATTCCTCCTCACGTCTCGTTTGCTGTGCTCACCGATGGTCTCCTGCTCCGTAACGGCACGCCGTCTATGAACGCACGCGTTTTAATCTTTCACGTGGAGAGCCGCTGCTCGTCTCGTGAATCTTGACAGCTCCCCGTGTCAGCCTTCCGCCCGGCAGTAATTGGTATCCGAATCACGGCGTTATTTGGTGGTGGTGATGCTGATGAGAATAGTAATGATTGGGGGGGGGGGGGGGGTGATGAACACTGTGGAAATATTGATGATGGTATCAATGATGAGTGTCAATGGTTCGGGTTATTATAACAATGATGTTAGAGATCATGATGACGATTCATCAATACGATCGCCGTTTTTGAGAATGGTGGAATCACAGGGATAATTATGTTGGTGATGACGATGATGATGGTGGCAGCCATTCTAATTGTTATCACAGTGATGATGGCCATAACGGTGGCGATGGTGATGACTGGTTAGGGCAATAACTCTGCTGACGACGAGGAATGCGATCGCGGTGATGGTGGAAAGCGGTGAATGCGGGCACGGAAACGCAAACGCCGTCGACAGTGATCGTGGTGATGATTGATCAGCCGATTGCAGTTATGACAACGACGCTTTGGCGACAATGACGACGGCCATCGTTTAGGCATCTAATTACTCGGCAAATGGTCACGATTCAATTCGAGGTCACGCTTATTTTCAACGATAAAATAAATCATGTTAAACTTAGCGTGTTCCATCTCATCGGCGTTATTTCACGTTTCTTGTTTTATTTGTAGTGGGTTTTGTTCACTACTCCGTTGACCTAAACATAACACTCACATTTAATTTGCATTATTCGTAAAGGATTAATTCACACGTGCACGAATCAATGCAAAAACAAATCAATTGTAATCAGTGAATCGATGCGTTGTTACATACTTGATGACAGTGGTGGTGGTGGTGGCGATGATAATGGGAGTGAGAGCCTCACCGAGTCTCAGGGCTCGTGTTCAGGAGGATCCTGCACTGGAATATTTCACCAATTACCTTCGTGAGACTTTGGCTTCATGCGGGAGGAATCACAGAGAACTCGTGGAAAACCCAACTCGGAGCTCCGTCCAGGTGGATCCATCCATTACTCTACTGCCATCTTCTGGCCACCTAGCATCCTACAACAACCTGACAGGCCCTGCCAGTCACCATCCTAGTAATAACCTGGCTCAATTCCTGCTTGGCTTATGAGAAAAGGCAATGGCGTTTTTAGGCAATAATAATAATGATGATGATCATCCTCGCACTGGCTGTTCATCCTCGCAGCAGCGGCTTTCCGCTGGCCATCGAACAAAGACGGTCACCGCATCGCGCGCTTTCAGATGCGCTTCTGCGACCGTCTGGAACGCTCTTCCATCCAATGTTAGGAAGCCACTGGAGCTGTGCACTTGTAAATCATCTAATTTTAATTCTCATTAGAACAGTTTTGTTGTGTTTGGTTTGCTGTCCTTTCCCCCTCCGATTGGCACGGTTGGCTACGTACGGTGTGAAGGAAGTTCAACATACATACATGATGATGATGATGATAATAATTATGGCGGTGGTGATGGTATTGACAATGATGGCAGCACTAACCATGATTGTAATGATGACCGTGATAACAATGGTAGTAGTAATGATGATAACAGCAGTGACAACGGTGACCCCATGATGGCAATGATGATGACGACGATGATAATTGTGACCGTGTCACCAACACACGATGACGATGTTTGATGATGATCGTGACTGTGACGACATAGACACAACACCGAATGTGGTGGTGGTAATGATAAAAATTAATTATGGTGGCAATGACAAAAGTGGTGACAGCTATGACAAACTAATGCCACGTTGATGATGATGATGATAACGGTGCCAATAGTGACAGTGATGACACCACTGGCAACTGTGATACAACTATGGCCACAGTGACAACGATGACAATGAGAGTGGCGGTGATGATAACGGCGATGGTATATATGTATATATATGTACGTTGAACTTCTTGTGCACCGTACGTAGCCGACCGTGCTCATCGGATGTGCGCGACGACGACAACCGACCCGACGAGAACGCCGGCCGATCACGACGACTGCAGCGAATGACGACGACGCTGCGGCAGCGGCTTCGGCGTGATCCGTACCACAATCGCGATCCGATCCGATCCCAACCCCCCCCCCGCCCCTCCCCTCCCCTCCGGCAGGCACCTTCCTGGGCCAGTGGATCAACGGCATACGGCAAGGCTACGGCGTGCGGCAAAGCGTGCCGTTCGGCATGGCGGCGCCCGTGTGCTCCCCGCTGGGCACGTCGCTCACGTCGCTGCGAAGCGAGCACGCCAACGGCGCCGCGTTGCTCCTCAACAGCGACGGCACCCCGCTGCCCGGCTCTCCGCCTGCCTTCGGCGGAGACAAGGGCTCCCCTCTGCCCTCGCCCACCTCGCCCATGTCGCCCATCTCGCTCGGCGGCGTCGGCGGCCTCATCCTGGGGCCCGGTCTCGCCACCCGCATGGGGTTTGCGCTCAGCCTCAGGCCCGACCCGGACACGGATCACAAGAAAGGTGAGCGCGCCCCCGTTGGCCACGACACGACGTGGGGGGGGTAAAACCGCACTCGAATACAGCGCGGAGAGAAATACGTAATGGGGGGCCGGGGGCGGGGGAGGGGGGCTTCTGGCAGGACTTGATAATAATGATAGAACAAAAATTCACGTCCCTCTCCTATTGGACACCGACGCGTTGCACCGGGCCCCCGGCGTTTTTTAGCGCAACGAAAACGTAACAAAAAAGAACAAATAATAATTTTAGCTCGCAACGCACCGCACGGTTATTCACTCGCTCTCGTAGAGGCGCGAGGAGGAACCACAGGCAAGCAGAAAAAGAGATGCACGCAATTGCCCTAGCTTCTGTGATCCTCTATATATTAAGGTGTAATCGGCCAAGTCGCGAGTGTTTCCACGTGGCTAAAGTGGTGAGACTATCGCCGGAGCGGATCAGCACCAGAGGACATCGTTCTCTTTGCAGCCTCGACGTCGACTTGGCAACGCCGGCAGATTGGTGCACGCTGCCAACTCCGTCTGTCGCCGGCTGTAGCCCCATCCACCTCCACGAGTGTCCGCCCCCCATCTCCGTGCAATCCTCATTGTTGCCTTTGACTTACTCGCATCGATGGAATGTCTCAAATATTAGAACCACGATGCACCTCCCATACTCTCGGCAGTGGCTCCCCCTTGATGCGCGCATTCTGCACTTTTGTACGGCAGCCGCGTTTTGATGCTTCATCGTCAAGTTCATCAACGTCATCAACAGCATCATCAACATCGTCAGCCACGATCAATCCACTGCGCCGCGGTGGCGAGATGTTAAATCCCTCGCCTCGTATGCAGGAGGTCGTGGGTTCGATCCCAACCATGACGCCTGGTGTATATTTGGAGTTTGCGTGTCTCTCTCCCCGTGGTCACGTGGATTTTTCTCCGAGTCGTCTGGTTTTTCCATCCACATTTAGAATTAACGTGCATTTTGAGAATTTAGCTACGACAAATTTCCACGCGGTAAGCCACTTCGTTGAGCTCTCATTGGTAGCTTCTGAAAAAGAGCTGTATAGCTCAGTGGGCCTGTCCTGGTTAAATAAAAAATAGTTTCGTTTAATAATTAAATAAGAAGGCCTCCACCAAGCTGTCCGTCGCCATGTCTCTTGGTACTGCTGTGTAAACATCCTTTTGGCATCCGCCCTTCGCACGCGAGCCGTTCTCAGAGCCCACGAACACAACTGGAAAAACGAAATACTTAAAAGCAAAAATAAATAGTTTCGTCATCGGCAACAGCGGCAGCAAGGCTCGGACTCCTAGACGAAGAAGTGGACGGGACGTGGCAGGCACCCGCACCGGTGGAGCGGTGGTGCCGACGCGCACCCACAAAGATAAAGGTGCCCCATATAGCCTTAACAGACTGTTGGGGCAAGTGCTGTTAGCAAGCACCTATGACGGTGGGCACATCACACGAGGGGGTGTCTGGATAGCACCATGCCCGGCCGCCTTTGTCTCCACAGTGGCAATATTCACACACAGCACCAAGTATTCATTTGATGCTGAATCGACCTAGGGGAGGAGGCCCAGGACCGGTCCAGATAATCGTCACCGGTGTTGGCCGTGATCGGGAATCGAACTCGGGCCGCCGGGTTCGTAGCGCAGCGCCCTCACCGCTGCACCACCGCTCCCCACACGCACATACAGGCGCACGAACATACGCTCCCGTGCGCGTGTGGGAAAGATTTTAATGTTGAAAGGACGAGCAGCCATGGGAGCAAATGTAAAGGATATTAATAGAACTGGCACAGCATTTGCTTCTGCCGTGCAGTTCATCAAGTTGGACTTTGGCAGGACTACATAAAGTACGCGCAGCGCCTTTTGTCAGTCCACCGCTGGACGAGGTCCTCCAAACACCTTGTGGGTCGTTTGACCATACTTCACCACGCCCGTCAGCGGAGGCTGGCGAAGGCGGGGAGCGTGGATGTGAAATTACGGAAGCGCATTTCACCGATGAATTGTTTCGCTGCACAAGCCCACAAGAGATTGCCTTTACCGGAGCAACTAGAAACAAATAAAAGCATTGGCTCTGAGCACAGGTGTCACGGGCAGGAGAGGGCAAGCAGGGCGATGGAATGTGGAAGGAAAACCCTGGAGATGTGATTAGGAGGAGGAGAGGCTGTGACGGGCAGGGTGGTGGAGGGCTGGTCACAGGGAGACATCGCGGTGGTACCCCGAGATCGGTGACCAAAAGGAAGACCTCTAAATCCCCGCTTGGTGGTGATGGTGGTGGTGGTGAGACTGTAAGAGCGAGTCCTTGAAGGTCGGCTACGGGGGGACGTAGTGGACCGAGGCGACGGTGGGATGTGGTGGCATCAAAGGTATCGGCCTCTCTGATGGCCCCCTTTGACCTTTGTCGGTCAAGAAGTTTGAGGTTCAGCCGTTTGCACCGCCCCACCGTCAACGACCACCGATGACCAAGAGTGGATCTTGAGTGTCTGTTGCTGCTGCAGCTGTGTCGGGTCAGGCGTGGAAAGTGAGAGATGGGTCACGGTGACCGGTGAAATTGACCAAAGGCTGCCTGCCACGAGTGGCCAGGTCGCTTCTGAAAAAGAAGCTATTAGCTCATTGGGCTTTACCCGGTAAAATATACAGAGTTTAATTAGTTTTTTTAGTGATTTACTTACCTTTACTATACTTTGCACTCCCATCGTGTTTTTGTATTGTTTGTTGTTGTAACTTACTGGACATCTGTCGAGAAGAGCTTCGAAGCTCATCGGATTCCGCCAGGATAAATAAAGAATCTGATCCCGAGTGCTCAGGGGGGTGACGACTGCTTCAGGCCCCACGGACCCTGAGTGGCCCAGCCACGGCCGTGGGGGGTGTGGGGGGTGTACAATTGGACAGGGGGGGGGGGCCCATTGCGTTCCTTGCACCAAGGCTCACTGCCGGGCGCAGACAGCATCCGAATGCGGCCAACGCCCCTTTCCCGAACAGCATTCCCGCTCTTCCGATAACCACATCCCGGGAGCCGCGTTCTCCCGATGCGCGAGGGGGCCACTCGCTGACGGACGCCGTTCAAATGGCTCGCTCGCGCGGGTTTGGCAACGCGCTGAGTGAGCCTGATGCGCGCGGAGGGAAGGGGAACCGGTGCGGGCAACCCGATACCCGACTCGGCGCTGCAACCGAGACTTTTCCTAGGAGCCATGGGAGGAGGGGAGGCAGCTTGAGTCACTCTCGCGACGCGCCCCCGCACTTTGTGCGGTGGCGGTGCGCTCACCGCTCGCCGCTGAGGTGGCCTGCGATGCCCGCACGCGTCCCACTTGGCAGCCGTGTGGAGCGTGCGTGCGTGCCGGGGGGAGCGTGTGTGCGTACGTGTCTGTGCTTTTTCGCCCAACGCCCCGTCACCTCTCACCCCAATGCCACCCCTCCCATGTGACTCTGTTCCCCTGTCTCCATATCTCCCTTCATGTCACCTTCCTCCCTCCTGAATGTGACCACGTGTCCCTAACCTGCCCTCCGTTCGTCTCTCAATGGCTCATCAACGTGTGGTCACATCCTCCTTCGCTGCCTGAATGTATCCCTACCTACTTGCACTCCGGCCTTCCTTGCCTCCCATCCCTCCCCTACCTCCCTCTCCTCCATCCATCCATTCATCCCCAACTCCCCATCCACCTCTCCTCTTTCATCCCTCAGCTCGGGGCGGCTCCTTCCTGGGCGTGCTGGGCCTCCGCCGCTCGTCGTCACGCTCCAGCCTCGCGTCGCAGCAGAGCAAGCGCAGCTCGTTCCGCAGCGCCACCCCCGTGAGCGTGGGCAGCTCGGCCGCCAGCGACACGGCCTCCGAGGCGGCCGACCGGCGCTCGGACGTGGCGGGCGGCGGCGCCGACGAGGGCCCCGAGGAGGAGGCGGTTGACGCCACCGCCACCGAGGCCTTCGCCGGCGAGTGGAAGGGCGACCGGCGCAGCGGCTTCGGCGTGGCTGAGCGGTCCGACGGCCTCAAGTACGAGGGCGAGTGGCTTGACAACCGGCGCCACGGCTATGGGCGAACCACGCTGCCCGACGGGCGCAAGCAGGAGGGCAAGTTTCGGCGCAACGCCCTGGCGCGGCCGGCTCGCAAGCGCACGCTCATCCCGCTGCGGGCGAGGAAGATGCGCGAGAAGGTGGAGCGCGCCGTGGAGGGCGCCCAGAGGGCGGCCGCCATCGCCAAGCAGAAGGCCGACATCGCCCTGTCCAGGTGAGGCCCACCTCGGATTTGTATTGTCGCCATCATCGCCATCATGGCCGTCATCGCCGTCGTCGTCGTCATCGGCCGTGAGCAATCCGATGCCGGATGTTGGCCTCAACAATCCGTCGTCAAATCTCACGGTCATGCGATGCGTCCATCAATCCTGCGCCCGTACCGCGGGGCCGATCCCAAGGATCTCAAACTTGCCCCGAGGTGGATCGTGCACCGGGATGTTTGACCAACGTGATATTTACGTGTTTGACGTTTGGGAGGAAACCGGAGTGTCCGAAGAAATCCCCAACGTGCATGCACAGGAGAAGATAGCACTTAGAGCTCCGCGCGGACAGATTCGGTCAGGCGCACGGAACTATTTGCGGACAGAATCCATTTTAACAGTGCCATATCCTCTCCACCTCGCAGCTGGCAAGCCCTGGTAGCCTCCAGGGTTAGTGCTAAACATGGTCAGCCCTGCTTAGCTTCCGAGATTCTGCGAGTTTGGACACATTCCGGGCGGTTTGGTCGTAGGCAAATTAAGCGAGCACCGATATATCCGCACCTCCGATTAGCACGGTTGGCTACGTACGGTGCGAAAGAAGTTCAACATACACACGGTGATTGTTCTACGCAACGCATATGCAAGTGAAAAGCGAGAGAGGCAATCACATGGTGTTCCAGCCCCGACAATTGCCCAATCTTTGCGGTCCTCTATTTATTAAGGTGTTGCCGGCCAATAATTATCGAGTGTACACAGGTGGGAGGAAACCGGAGCGCTCGGAGAAAACCTACGCGTGTGCGAGGGTGACACGCTCGATCCCAGTCGTTCTTCTTCTTAACCTGGGGGGGGGGGGTGAGACACGGACAGATTTTTTTTAGGAGGTAAATCATCGAAACGCAAATGAAGCAAGGGCACGTAAGTACAACTTACTTTGTTTCATCACACCCTGTGTAGTTATCAACATTGTGCATTTTTTGACGATTGAGACGCAAAGGGGTGCAAGGCTGCAGTCAAGGAACCGCTGCCCTATCCCATACCTCCGGAACTTGTGGAGTCCACATTTGACGGGGTACCGCGTTCCCCACGCGAGCCAGGCTCCTCCTCGACTCACCACGGGGGAGTTTCACAACATGTGGTGCGATCCGCCAACCCTCGCTGCCTCCGCAGTGCCGGATTACAGGCTCCCCGTGCGGCATTAACCGCCACCACCGCGCTCAGCTACATTACAGGCAGCACTGCACAGGGGGGCCCCTACCTGGCAGCATCGGTGATCCTACGCGTGGCCGTCCTGGCTGCCAAGCCTCTTTGCTTTCCCTTGGTCGTGCCGGCCAGGCTAAGTTAACTGCTGATGACGACGCGGAGAAGGTTTCAGCCCGCTTGCATGTCGTATGCAATGCGATACAACGCGCGTTTCTATTTGCGGCCAAATGCGACCCCGTCTCAAGACACCTTGCAGAAACGGTGGGCGTAAGTGATTTTATATATAAACTGTTTTTTTAACTGAACTCTTTTTTTTATTTTACCAAGGCCCCCCTGAGCTATATGGCTCCGTTTCAGACGCGGCCTGGCCACAAATGATAGCTCAGCAAAGTGGCTTATCACGTGAACATTTATAGCAGCTAAATACTCTAAACGCGTGGTGTTCGTTCTGAATGTGGAGGGGACAACCGGAGGACTCGGAGAAAAATCCACACGACCACGGGGAGAGAGAGCGAGAGGTACACGGAAACAGGCGTGAGGGTCGGGATCGAACCCACGACCTCCTGCCATACCAGGCGAGGTAGTCAACATCTCACGGAGATGAAGATTAGACACGTCACAGGGAGACGCTCATCGGGCAGTGACCTGGCCGAGCGTTGGTGGGTTTGACACTTGTCACAGAGGCTCGTGGTTCGAGCCCCATGGCCAACCCTGGTTAATACTGTCACCGCCGCCGTGGTGAATATTCAGCGTGAACACTACACGTGCCCTCTGCATTCACAGCATGGCCACTTGTGCCAGGTGCCATGGTTCCGGATTAGTAAGATTTCTCGCAAATGAGTCGATCTGGGAAAAACAACGTGGAATGTCACCCCACCACCCCCCCCCCCCCCCAAGGTGTCTAACCGATGCAGACACCCATGTGTCTGCGAGACGGTGCCTCTGCGATTGCCCTACTCTATGAGAATGGCGCGAAAAGCAAGCGGCTTACTCGTGACTTGGTAGGGTCAGAGTAAGCTATGAATGTAACGGCCATTCTCCTCACCGTGCAGTGGGGGAGGGGGGAATATAGGAGTGAGGTTACAACAGCAACCGTGAGAATGATAGTGGCGATAGAAGAATGAGTTGCTCTTTCGCACCGTACGTAACCAAACGTGCGAATCGGATGTGCGGGAGAAGGACACCAAACTAAACACAAAAATAAATGAGTTTTTTTATCGAAATTTTAAAGTGGAAAGCTCCCAGCGGCTTCCGAATATCGGAAGGAAGAGCGTTCCAGACGGCCGCAGAAGAGCATGCGATGCGGTGATCACCGTCTTTGTTCGATGGCCAGCCAAAAGCCGCTGCTGCCGCGAGCATGACCGGAGCTCGCTTGATGGCTTATGCTCCCTGACGAGATCAGCGAGGTATTGTGCTTCAAGCGGAAATTAATGAGGGTCTCTAGGTTGGGGGACGGGGGTGGGGGGGTGATTGCCCCATATTGTTATCTTCCCCCCTATTCCACCACTGGTTGAGACAATATGACCTCCATATTCTTAGGTGTTTTCCGGTAAAGTCACGTAGGTAAAAAATTAAAATTAATAAAAGTAAAATAAAAATAAAATAAAAATTACGACGTTTCGGAGGCAACACAAGCTTCCGTCTTCAGGTGGAACCGTCACAGCACAATAGCTGTATCTCACTTGATATAACTTGATACAGCTATCGTGCTGTGACGGTTCCACCTGAAGACGGAAGCTTGTGTTGCCTCCGAAACGTCGTGATTTTATTTTTATTTTACTTTTATTAATTTACATTTTTTACCTACGTGACTTTACCGGAAAACACCTAAGAATATGAATCCTTGCAGTCACAAAAGCTTCAAATCTAGAACATGACCCCCCCCCCCGCCAGCCCGCCGCCAGCTGGGGACATGGTAGCACCCGTGGGTGGTCTCCACTTGAAGCCAGAGGCACAGCTCGTCTGTCGGGGCCTTCTTCCCTGGAGGCGCAGAACATTTGTGCAGCCCAAACAGCTCGCGTTGAGGTCCTTCTCACTCTCCCACCACCCCCCCGATCTCATCATCCAACTCAGTGTTAGAGGAATGATTTTCTCTCTCTTTCTGTGAGCCTGGGTCGTGAGAAGCTGACGTAAAGACCGCTTCGATAATGTTGCTAATATTGTTTGTAGTGATGGTAATGATGACCATCGTCATGAGTGTGCAACTTTTTGGCCGAGTGTGTCACCTCAAGTAAAAATCAGAAATTTGTATTTGGGCCGGAGGAATCCGATGGGTGGGTCAGTAAAAATTTGATTCATTTTAGAAGTGCTTCATGGAAACAACCACAGCATTATAATCGGGGTCTATGCGGAGCGCTCACAGTTTCCATGTGGTGCGCTGTGTCAATCCTACTTTAAATTACACACTTAAAAACTCATGATTATTTTTTATACCGCGGCGTTCAGGCAAATTGCATCTCCCAATCGCTGAGCGGGAGCCAGAAAGCTGAAAGGCTGCCAGGCAGGGAGCTGGTCCAACAATCGCTCTGCAGTTCTCCACATATTGAGATGTTTTCAACCAATTAGTGAGCGTTTATTATACACGTGCAAGGAAAGCGGAGCCCCCGGAGAAGCCCCAATAATGCGAGGGGGCAACACTCTATTCCATACAGACGATATCAGTCCACACTTTTGCTGTACTGCTTTCTGCCAGCGTGCCAGGGTATTGCCAGGGCATGCCACCTGGATGCCCATTGTTGCAGCACAGGAGTGCGAAGCCACCTCCACTGCTGGATGTGAAACTCCACGTCTTGCGGGTCATGGCGGATATTTGACCGTGCACGTTGGTGAAGGGGCCGTTGATAATGGCGATGTTGGTTACGGTGGTGACCTGGTGATGAAGGTGGTTGCGGTGATTGGTTTTAGAAATGTTTCGCGTGACATTAGTGGCGGTGGCGACGATGGCGGTGGCGGCAGCGGCGGTTGTGGTAACAGCAGTTATGGCGATGGATTAAATTACAATGCCGTCAGCTGAGGCTAAATTTTGGCAAGCCATGTGGCGTCACTGTACGGCAAACATTCCGCCCGATGGACATGTGGTGGCTTCATATTTCTCCATTGAGTGGCTTCGTGTGTTTAAGCTGAGTCCAGAGCTAACGGCGGTGTCATGTTCGTGTGGTGTCTGTGTGTCTCTGACTGTGTGGTTTGTGCGCGTTTCAACTGTGTGCGTGTGTCCCTGATTTTGTGATGTGCGTGGCATCCGTGTGTGTATGTATATCTGTCATCTGTGTGTGGGGAGCGGTGGTGTAGCGATTAGCGCGCTGCGCTTTGAACCCGGTGTGCTGAGTTCGATACCCGCTCACAGCCACGAACACCGGTGATGATTATCTGAACCTGTCCTGGGCCTCTCCTAGGTCGACTCAGCCTCAAATGACTACGTACCTGATGCGGTGTGTAAATATCGCCCCTTAAAGAGTTGCTAGCCAACTACACTTGCCCCAGCATTCTAAAGGCCAAATATGGAGAATTTGTGGGTGTCCGTTTGGTTGTGTGATATATCGTAACTTAAGGAATGCGTGTTTGGGATATTACGTACTCTATGTGTGCGTGAGATATTGTACTGCGTGCATTCAAGTCCATGTTCAATGACTGACTGCCTCCTCCATGAAAGAAATAAGCCCACTGCCTCCGTATAACTTCTTGAAATGTGATCATATGTTATGCAATAACAAATTCATATTGTATTATATCACGTGCATGTGTGAGATAGTCTGTTCCACGTGTGTGTGTGTACGAGAGAATTCTGTTTTCTATGTGTAAGTGGGATTCTGTGTGT